TTTTAATTCACTTGAAGCAAATTGGGAAGATTAAAAAGCTTGAAAGATGGGTACCTCACGAATAGACTGAAGCAAACCGGCAAACGCGCGTCGACTGCTGCGTTACATTACTGAACCGGCACAATAATGAAGGTATTTTAAACCGAATTATTACCTGTGATGAAAAATGGATTCTTTACGATAATCGGAAGCGCTCAGCGCAATGGTTGGATCCTGGCCAGCCAGCCAAATCCTGCCCCAAGCGAAAATTAACCCCAAAAAGGTTACATGTAAGCGTTTGGTGGACTAGTGCCGGTATTGTTCATTGCAGTCTTCTCAAATCTGGCCAAACTATTACGGCTGATATCTATTGTCAGCAATTGCAAACCATGATGGAAAAACTAGCGGCCAAACAACCTAGGCTGGTCAATCGCTCCACGCCACTGCTACTTGACAATGCTAGACCACACACTGCACAACAGACGGCTACCAAATTAGAAGAGCTTCAATTGGAATGTCTAAGACATCCTCCGTACTCCCCGGACCTTGCTCCAACAGATTACCATTTTTTTCGAAATTTGGACAACTTCCTGCAAGGGAAAAAATTTTACTCTGATGGGGCAGTCCAAATCGCCTTCATAGATTTTATTGATTCAAGTCCGACAGGTTTTTTAGTAAAGGGATCAATTAACTACCTATGAGATGGCAAAAGTGCATAAAAACAATGGTTCATACTTTGATTAATTAAATATATTATATTTAAAAATATTCGACTTTTTGTTCCTCCCATACAAAACGCCAATTTCATATGTAAGGACCTAATATAAGTAGTAATTGCTCTTAACTAATTTGTAAAGATATATTTTTAACTATTATCTAACTCGTGCAAATTAATGATTAACTTCCGCCTCTTCTACTACTGCTTAGGTGGGAAAATGGTTTTTTAGCAAATTGAGAAGTACCGTCATATTATTATATAGTCTGGTTTACAATTTACATGGTTTACGAAAATTAACTTGCGACACAAAGAAAAATTATCTTGCGCTTTTATTTGTTACAATTATTATCAAAATTTTTATTGAAAACATACTAAATTTAAGGAAAGCATGAAAATTAAAGTAATGACTTACTATAAGGACTATATTCTTGACGTTACTCTAAAGCGGGTCATAGACGGACCGCATGTTGCAGTCAAGACCGACTGCAACATGCGGTTTGCTCAGGAACTGCTCGAGCGGTCCGTGTATTGCGAATATGAATTTAGTATGGAAACTGCAGATCGCCGTGCGGCGACCGCATGTTGCAGTCGGTCTTGACTGCAACATGCAGTCGGCCTACGGCCCGCTTAACTGCACATAAATCTAGATTCAAGAGCTGTCAAACCATTTCAATTTAAAGTTGACTTGAGATACCTATTATAATACAGGCCCTAGTCAGCCAGACTGTTTTATTTGACTGATTTGACTCAGTTTAAACTTAGAGTTCTCACTTAAAATACCATATCAAAGTGTTATAAAGTTGTTAAAACTTCCAAGTTCGGACTTCATTGAAAATCAATTAATTTAAACCGAACTCGTTTAATAGCTGAAAACAAAAGTCAGTGTGTGAAGGTACTAATGATTTTGCAAAAATACTAACTACTAGTAAATAAGTATTATTGAGACTACGTTTTTTTTACCTGGAAGGAAGTATTGTATATATTTACATGTTTTGCATATCTACATATAACCTTATTCTGAAATGAGAATTAGAACTGTTGTTGAACTATAATTGCACCAAATAAAAGAATTTTTTTGATAGTTATTGGATACTTTCCAAACAAATTATTCAAAAACAAATTTAATGACGTGGACGTGGAATACCTGTATCTTATATTCCATAATAAACATTTTTTTTACTATTGAATGTAAAGTATGATTTTTGGGCCGCATTGTTTTTGTAAACAAAGATCTGTTCTTTTGTTTCTCGACGATATTTCGATCGGATTATTAGGGACTATTTGTGGTCCCCACGATCACCGGACAAACAACCCACTCGACTATTTTACTGGGGATGACTCAAAGACCTTCTGTCACTCATCACATCATTTATGTCATTATTCATGTCCTAATTATAAATATATTAATAAGTTAATTTAAGTAATGAAGGAAATTGTATAATTTACTTTTGTAATTCAGAAAAGAAGTTGTTGATTGCAATAGGCATTTTTTTTGTATTTTACTTTCTATGGTTTATATTATAGGTAAAAACGTCGTTAAATTTATGAAAAAAAATAAACAAAACTTGAAATTTGAGTTAAATCTTTGTTTAAATAAATAGTTTTCACTCTTGCTATCCAAAAACAGACAGAGAAAAATCTTTTATGCAACAAAAAGCATGGCAGAGTGTAAATTTTTCGAATTTACGAATTTTGTTTAATATCTCGAAAACCGAGAGACTTTCGTAACATAAAACATATTTTTCTGAACCGCCACAACAACGTTTACCTGCAGGTACATGCATATTGTCCATTCATTACGCCACAACCGTTATACTGACTCAATATAAATTATTTCTTCTTTCATAGTATAATATCTGGATAAATTTACCAGAACTGGTGAGATCAGTTCACCAATAAGTAAATTATTTCTGTAGCGCAAAACTGTGTTAAGCGGGTTGGTCTCGTAAATATATTTAGTAACTTAGTAAAAAGTGTAGACTATAAAACTGCAAGTGTATACGCTATCGGAGATAAGCTGCGGTCTATGGACTGTCGATTATTCCCAACGATTCCGCTAGTGATGTTATAGTATCGATAAGTTTAAACTATATGCTTATGTTCACAGGATTATATTTATGCAAACCTACATACAATTAAGTAATGCCAATTATTTTTTGTTGTTGCAGTGATTATTTATTCAGGTGCGAAATAATACAATTAACGTATGTCAAGTCGTATTTAAAATGATTGCTGATGACTATCATATATACATACATCAAACGAAAGCTACATGTCTTTAAGTTATTAAACATATTGTATGGATCTTCACCCCGTTATAAAACCTAATCAAGACTCTTGGGCCGTGGGGTTCAAGTGCGCTAATTAAAGATTTAAGTTGGCGCTTGGTAGATAGTACCGGTGACCAAGGCTGGTGCTTTCCTCGCTCTACGAATGAGTATCTCAATACAGCGGGAAATGCTGCCAACACTGGCACAGGGACCAAACCAACTTTAAAATATGTTTTAATTTGGTATATATTAATTTTTAATTATTATTATTACTATGTAGGATGAGAAAATTGTAAATAATATTAAAGAGACGATAGGTCTCTTTGTGTTAAAATATATTTATGTTGTGGTAGAAAGATTACTTTAATTAATAATGGCGTGAGCATGATGTTTGTGATATCGAAAAAAATTCTGTCACTTGCCAATGTTAACCTAAAATCATAAGTCAGGTTCAGTAAAAATAAATAATGTATAATTAAAATTATCGATATATGAGGCATCACTTTGAACGAGGTAGTCACGTGCGCTGAGTCCGCTGGCGAGCTGCCAAAGGAGATCCGGCTACATACTGTGACGAAAATATTTTAAAAATTCACTTTTGCACTCAATTTTATGCTTATAAATTTTTATGCGCAGCGTATTAAAATGAGACTAGAATACGCAGTTGGAATGCATAATTTCCATCAAAATTATACTTTGCAGTTAAGAATCACCAAAAATTTCATTTTTGAGGAAATCTAATTAATAATAATTAAAAATTATTAAATAGAAAAGTATAATAATTTAAAAAGTTTGATCCCTGTGGCAGTGTACCTTTAACGCTGGCAGCATTTCCTCGCTGTATTGCGATACTTATTCGTTGAGCGAGGAAAGCACCAGCTCTGGGGTTATCGGTACTATCTACCAACCTAAACTTAATTAAGTGTCAAGTGTCTCTACTCAAAAGGGAACAAAATCGAAGTTGGAGGAAATACTCCGTGTATTTGTATGTTGGAAATAAATAAATTTATTAATATTAACGAATTCAAACCAAACGAAACATGTTTTTAAAATACTAAAATCTAGGGAATGTTTCGGATATCAATTGTAAACAAGTTTGTTATAACATCGCTACACTACAGCGTTATATCTTCTTAAAGTCATTCCAGCTCCCATCTCACGTAACATGTAGACGGAACAGTTTTGACGGACTGCGCTTAGTTCAGGAGAATTTTGCCTCAAAGCAGGTGCTTTAAATTTGCAACCAGCTTCCTAATTAGCTTACTAGTTGTGAGGTAGAATGCTTCGAGATAATTTATAGCCAAACTGATCTTGTAAGACACAAGCTGGAAAATAAGAGGCTTATTAAAATGATTTTTGATCCAAGTTTAAAAAAGCGTGTTTTGCTGTTTTTATATAAAATGCTATTCCTAAAATAGTTTAAGATTGTTCTATACAGATGGCATATGTCATGTCCTTGGGACTAGTTTACTAAGTTGATAAAAGATACATAATTAAGAATTTATATTCAGTATTAAATTGTGTATAAGTGCCGTGGAATAGTCATGTTTAATTTTTAGGTCCGCTTCGTTGACGACCAGACACTTTCCGAGCGGCTTGATCCCTTGGCGTTGCGTAGAGATGTAGGGCCTCTCTGCATCTTCTACCGCATTTAACATGGAGAATGGTTAGAGGAGTTGTTTGGATTAATCCCTGCAGTTGAGTTTCATCATCGGACGACAAGGCAGAATGAAATAAATGTGAAATCAGCTGTCCATTGAAGTATTTCCGAATCAATTCGATTAGCACGCACGCATTCGCACTTGAGAGTCTTCTTGCAATGTCCACGGCAACGGTATAATTTAAAAATCTGTTTTATTATGATGCCTTCAGACACAGGAACAATAAAAAAAAATTTAAGTAATTTATTCAAATATTTTATACAAAATAAATAACGAGACAACATTGTTTTCTTATAATATTTACAAAAACACTATCGCAGCCCAACACAAGTAAAATGAACTGTCAAAATTGAAAAAACATCATTTTCTAATCTATTTGAAGCTTAAATATTTATTTATTCTATCAATATAACTGTTAGATAATACAGGTTTTGAATTGATCCTGTCATTTAAATTACTCAAGGACGATGCAACATATGATGCTGGAGTAGAAGACACCAAACCTTGATTCAGTCCCAAATCATAGTTATAAGAGTTTTTGTTACCAATCAAAACAAAATCGTCTGCAGAATATGATGATGGGCTGTTTATTTCTATATTTTTGTAATTTGGGGTTGTAAATAAGTGTTTTATTTCCTCATACGCTGGCCTAACTGTTGTCGACGAGGAGGGATCAGGATTCACTTGGAATAGCTGTGAATTATATTGAAACGGGGCAGTTGAAGTGTACAAGTTCTGTTGATAGTATGGGGCTGCTGTCGTGTGAGAGATTTGTTGATATGGAGCCACAGTACTTTGATAATTCTCTTGAACATATGGACTCACAGTTGATACAGGGTTATACAATTCAGCATTTTTATAATTCTCAGCGGAATAATCGTAATATTCCTTGGAATCATACTGATTTTCTTTAACGGGTATCTCATCTCTATAATTGACTTTACTGAAATCGTAATTGGAGTTGTCTAAATTGTTTACGCTATACGTAGGTTTTTGGAATTCATTATGTACGTTGTCAACATAGTTGACATTGCTTTGGTATATAGGGTTATCAACAGGCTGTTCGTCATATCTGACATTAGCTTTATAGCCGTTGTCATCGGCCGTATAAGAGACGATTTGCAATCTTCCATCGGGCAGTCGAACCCTGTATTCGCCGTTCGTAGCGGATCCGACGCTTTGTTGTTTGTGTGAGAAATCATCACCGTTTTTTTGGTCCTTAACTATGTACGAAAAGGCATAGTTTTGACCCTGAAAATGTTAAAGAGGATTGTTAACAAACTAATATCAATATCCTGATTAATTGATGAGGAAATAATCCTACCTCACTATAATCTTGCTCTGACGATACACCTGGGTTATATTGTTCCGCTGGTTGTTGATTCTGAAAATTAGCTTCATTTAATTTCAAAGTAAAATATATTAGTTTGTCATCTATACTATACATGTAGACCATAAACAAAATAGTCTGCCCATAAAATGTTATTTTGTAACTATTAATATCAAACAATAAAAAATACACAGTCACGTAAGGTCATAAGTAACAATATCTTATGGCATTTGTTTAGCGACAAGAGATCTGGGTCATTCTGTGTTGTGGCTATCCTGACTTGCTCTTTTGATTGACGACTACGAAGGCCACGAAACTATAGTTTTTTACGTCAGTTTTAAAAAAACCAGCGGATCCGACAGACGTTGTCCTGTACACACGTCTTACATACAAAAATATCTAATAATGTAAATCATTCTCGACTCCACTTTAACACACAAAAAATTTCATCAAAATCTGTCCAGCCGTTTAGGAGTTTAATTACGAACACAGGCACAGAAGATTTATATATATGCTAGCTGTTTATTTGCTGTAGATAAATAACGTAGATACCAACTGAAGCGCCATCTGCCGGGCTGATTTGTGAATGTAAACCATCAAGGGCGCCACCCAAACGCATACAAAAAAATCATTCAAATCAGTCCAGCCGTTTAAGAGGAGTTCAGTGGCATACACACGTATAGAAGAATTATATACATAGAGGTATTGTAACACTTTTAGTAAGGCTATTGCCAGAGATTTAAGTTACTATTTTCGCAAGCATATGCAAAGCTTAAAATTTCTACAATCTGATAATTATTTCCTCTCTATTATTATTTTTTTTTTGTTATATGCACATAATACATTTTCGGAGGCCAAGATCTACGCGTGTGTGTCTTTAGCTTGGCAAGAATGAGTCGCAGTGCCAAAGGCGCAAGTATACTTTAATACACACTTAAAAAATCAGTAGCACTACAACCTTTTTATGTCTGGGCCTCAGATTTCTGTATCTGTTTCGTGATCATTTAAGTCAATCTAATAGGCAAGCAGGTGATTAGCCTCCCGTACCTGACACACGCCATCGACTTTTTGGGTCTAAAGCAAGCTGGTTTCCTCACGATATTTTCCTTCGAATGTTAAATGTGCACATAGAAAGAAAGTCTATTGGTGCACAGCCAGGGATCGAACTTACGACTTCAGGGATGAGAGTCGCACGCTGTGGCCAACAGGCCAACACTCCTTTTTAATACATTTTTATGCAATTGTATTTAGAATATCACTTTTACATTTAGTGGCCTCACCCCGGAAATCCCTTGATATTATTTCTCCCCTTATAACTGATTGATTACATCAGTACTGCGAGTGACGGCAGGTGTTTTGTTTTTCTCGATACTGCCGCTTCATCTCAACATTTTTTACTGAGAAAATGCTCTTTACCTCTGATTAAAACAAATAGAGGGAGTGCTTTCCTCTTAAGTTATGTGCCCAAAAAATCTAAACGCGAAAACTGTATTGCGTAAAATGGCCTTTATACTATGATTAAGGGGTTCGCTTTATCTTAGGTTTATTATATTTCATATATATGTGAATAAATCGTATTTTTTTATTTAACATGCTTTTTAAATAAATATTCTGTTCAATAAAAAGTTATGCGTTATGACGCAATTAAATTTTTTGAAGTTATACTTCTTTAGGCGCAAAGAGAGATTGATGAGAGTGACATTTTACGATGCGCGCGCACCTGAGACACAAAGTTGTCAGTGTGATTATAGCGTGCGCGAGCGAGATGGGAATAAGACAATCTACAAGTAAAAAGAAATAGAATATGCGTGAAGTTAGCAGCTATGCCAAGAATTTTGAATGAACATAATGGCATTTACCTTTCAAACAAATAAAGGAGTTTTAATTATTTTTTCAAAGAAATTTAGCAATACTTTTTCACAAAGACCTATTGTTACTTAGTCAAAAGGTTATGAAACATACGTAGTTATTAAATTGAATGAATAATATAATAATATAATAAAATAATAAATAATAATTATTATTATTATTAACATTAATTAATAATTGAATAATATACTAAATATTAAATATTATTAAATTATTAACGTTAAATATTTGTTATTAATTATTTAATATTTAAAAAAAATAAAGAAAGCCAAAGAAGTATAACTTCTTACGCGCGTACATAAGTACACGCACCCTTTTTTTTTTTGACGAAGTCACCTTTCAAGTTTATACATTTTGTATATCTTTTTTCACAAACTGAAATTTTCTTTAAATAAAACTTCTTCCCTTATAAAATCGTGTACTGCGGGGACTACCGCGTCATGACCTTCAAACTTATGACCCCGGATGTTCCTTTAACCACGGAAATCGGTAAAAACACTAGGGGTCCGGTGAATCTTCCATGAATTCGAAGTCAGCTTCTTGAATGGCCATCGTAATTCTGGCCTTGTGCGCGGGGAAGTTATTTAAGGGAAACCAAATAACTTTAGCGAGTTTGCCACGCCTTTCCTTGCGTATTTCCTCATGCAACTTTATTTGCCCCACGTACAAAGACCCGTCATAGTGCCTCTATGATTAAATTATTAGATTTTTACCATCCTTAGCTGTCACAGAAATAAAACATCCCATGTCCTTACCGGTGGATGAAATCGCATTAAATTCGGTGTTGGAGATGACGTTCTCTGCCAAGTTTTTGAGCCTTGTGAAATTCTTAGTCATGTTTGTTTCTGCGCGTCAGAAAGCATTCTGACGCTTTTTTTATACCCAAATGGTGGTGAATAATATTATGGACAGTCCTATAGATCCATTTATTCTGTTATAATACCAACAGTAACACGACGATCGGCCAAAACAATGTTTTTAACCGTGGAATATGGAAGAACATGAACCCCTAATGTTGCTCAACTCTTAATTTACCAGCTCCGTAGTAAAAATTCCAAGCATATTGTATTAACGCGCGAACCTCAATAGTATACATTTTTAAAAACACGTTCAGACACGACGCAAACAAATAACGTCTATTTAAAGAAAACAAAAGAGAATTCATTGCTTTTTTAGTATTATATTTTTTTTTCAAGGAGAATGTATCGCATTATCACTATTTACTAAACTCCCCTCTTTTTTTTTGAACTGTTAAATGAGTTTAAACACTTCGAGCGCTGACATCCAAAAGTTGGCCTCACTAACTATTATGTATTAGATTTTTAAAGGAATTTATATTAGTAACTTTAATTATTTTACATTTTACTCTTACCGTATATCCTAAGCTGTTGTAACTTCCAAAACTTGGTCGATAGGTCACGGGGCTTATGTAAGAGGAATCGGCTATTGAATTGTTCAGTTCACTCCTTGCAATGGACTCTGCCAGGGGACGAGAAGTTACCACTAACGGAGGCTTAGGGGGTGGTGGGGCATCGTTGGGGAATAAGACTGGCCCTTTCCTGAAAAAAAAATCGATCTTTGACACGAAACTTTAAAAAAAAGAAAACTAGCCGATAAAGAGTAAGTGTAACAATCGTAAAAGTTTAATATGAATTAATGGAATAATTAATGTATTTACAAAACATCAAAAAGGCTATTCTATCATTTACTTATGTCTGCGAAATTATTACTATTCATTGTCACATAATGCCTGTTGTAACATCGATGCGACCTACCTGCACTTTTGTAACAAATATGGTACATATTGTTAGAAACTAATATTTTTATTTTATATAGTGTATTTTCAAATAATTTCATAACACGATGTACATAACTAACTTACTCTAAATTTTCTCGCTAAGTGAATGTAATTCTTTGAGAAATAAAGTATCTTTGAACCTAAGAGTGCCACTCTCGAACCTGAAGTCGACAATTTTTCGATTCTGATTTTTCTATATGCAAAATTCATTTCACATTTTGGTAATGAAAAGATGCCAGATGCAGAAGGCTAATCACCTGTTTGACGCCACAATATAGGATTGTAGTGCGGCAAAATTTCGCATACGTTTCGCAATAAGCTATATTTTTTTTATTCAGCACTAAGGCTTTCTCTATACGTAAGAAGAATAAGGAGAACCCAACAGATCTCTCTCAACTCTTATGAATCTGAATCTTAAAAACCTAAGAATTACACTTAGTAAAGGAGCGGTTAAATTTAAAATAAGCAGCGAAGTAAGATTTATAAAAGCCAATAGTTTAAACTTTAGTCAATAATGAGAACACCAGAAATTGATATAACTATTTGTTAAATTTAGCTTTAATCGTGATGATTCGGAGTAATGGGCCATTCCATGGATGCTAATAATTCCTAGAACGATTAATATTATAATCAAAATATATTATTGTATATTACTAATATTTATAAGTAGATCGTTAAAAAAATTTTGTTATTATAATGCCCCTTAATTAATTTAATTCCCTCATTTTTGAAAAAGTAAGTAAGTGAGTAAATAAAAAAATAATATATAAATTGCTTTTTATATTATTTTTTTATACTTTTATACACAAATCTTCCAAGACTTCTTTCCTTACACTGTAAATGCTTACTATTATTATGTTTTCTTCTATTATTATTACATTCTTTTTCTTTTTTTGTGTCAGAGTCGCAAACTAACTGTCTTGGTCTCTGGCAGAATGACCAGCGCTGTGGAACACGTCTGCTCTACAGCATAATGCTGAGCCAGGGCCAGTTACAACCACAACACACTCACAATACACACTTAAAATGTACCTTATTCCTATTTTCCTTCCATGTTTTATGCTATTTTTCTTTTTTGATTATTATTATTTTGTGTTTTTCTCTGTGTGTGTTTCATTAGTAATAAATGTTATTTAATGTCATGTTTCTGTTATATATTTCATTATTAATATACTTGGACATAGAAAGGTACTTGAACGTTAATTTTTTTATTAATCTACAATATGTAAATAAAAAAAGCATTTAATTTCAGATACTTTACACTTAAACACATTTCTTTCATCTCATTTTTAGATATCTGCGTGCCCTTTTTAATAATAAATATTATCATCAGTGTATCTACATGATGCATTGATAAATTCGTAGCTCATCAAGTGTAATCATCAAATCCATCCAGCACTTTAGATCATCAAAGGCTAATGAGAAATCGATATGAGTATTGGATGTCCAGCCAAAACATTTAACTATTCAGCTAAATGACCGTACCGACCAGTTTAACGGTACCTGTGTTTACACTCGCTATTGTGGTTAAGGGGTGCTAGCCACGGTCCAAATTTTGACTGAATTATTTTAAGCGCTAACTTAGTAACTGTTTGAACGAATTTACAGGGTTGTGAGGATTACATGGCATGTTCGGTTTCATTATAAGTTCAAAGAGATAAAGACCAAATATAGTAATTTATCCGCCTCAGTAGATCCTGTGTCGGTTATATGTTTGCGCCCCTTTGTTTGAATGCCTAGAGCGATTGAAGACAGTACTTTTGAATAAAATTGGATTGGATTAGTCGTTTTTTTCTACGCTAAAAGCAAGCTTTTGATAATATCAAAACAGCGGAATCTTTTCTTTACTATTTGATTCCGATCAAACCGAGTAAAAACTTTAATTAAAGTATATTCAATTACTTACTTGGTAGGCTTCGGGCTGATTTCTTCAAGGTACTGTCTTACTGGGTTTGAATGGTAATTAAAATGAGTCGGAGCTAGCTGATGGGATCGGTTTGGTATTTCTTGACTTTTTACCACCGCTAGTAGGATGAACAGGCTAATCATTTTTCTGTAATGAAAAGTACATTTTTACACTCTACGAAGGAGCAATTTTAAAGAACGACGGCTGTATAAACGAGAGTGTCAAAGAGTTCCTAAGCTCATGCGTTCTACGCCCTAGATTTTGACTTCTGGTACTTATTCTAATAAATATATATTAGCCATTCTCTTTTAATGATGTTCGTTTGTGATCATTATATAATTACAATGTATTCTTAAATAATATTTCGTTGTAATATTTTATAAAAATACAGGCTGACGCGGCAAACGGCGTTTTGCCATGTATATTATTTCTAGGAAACTTTTTTTAGTTCAATAAAAACAACTATCTATTATAATAATAAATAGGGGTTGATCGTAGAGGGGTAACAATTAAGGGTTGTATGTATTTTTATATGCTGTATCATAAAAACAAAAAGTTTTGTTAAAAATAAATAAAATTTAGGGGTTGGACCACCCTTAACATTTAGGAGGAGTATGGGAACGAACATTGTGACACGAGAATTTTATATATTAGATTGAATGGGTAGTGTTGAGCTGAATCCTTAGTTTTACGATATTGGGGACAAAAATACAGGTTATCAAATGGTATTTTTAATATCTCTAGTAGGTATATAAACAAGATGTTAGTATGTATCAAGCAATAAGATATTCAATATTAAATATTATATTCTATGAGACCGAACAAAGGCGAAATATTCGATACCAAGAGTTCCTCAACTACGGTAAAAAAAACAAAATGTTGGTAATAAATAATTTGCAAACGTTTGAAAACAAAATATCGTAAACATCAAAAGGGATATCAGAGTTCAATAATCCATCATCCCTAACAAAACGGTACTTTCACAGGCGGAAAACAATGGCGTTACCATGACAACCGCAAGATGGCGGACGCCGACCGCGTTCGCACGACAATGATGCAATCCTGATAGTGAGTGTTTTTTATCATACTTTTAAAAGACATTGATTGTATTTACGGAAATAAAGTAGTGGTATTTAATATTTTCCATTAATTGTTTAATTATGATTATTTAGATTGTGGAAGGCTGGCATTCTCATCCCTCTTGATATCCTGTTTTTGATCCCCTGCTATAGATCAATTATTGTTTTTGGTATGGTCATGGTTAGCACTTGGTCAATAAAGAAGAACCATAGTTTATAAATAAACCAAATTACGATTTATTGCTACTACTTGACATCGTCTCAAATAAAATTAATTGCAGCTCACTTCTAGAAAAATTGCCCTTCCTTGTTCCTGCCTACCAAACTCGTAATCGTACATATGCAAAAAACTCAGTTATGTATCCCGGACATACAACGAGCACTATTTAAGCCTTGACTTGTGTAAGCTATCGCCTAATATGCTTAAATATTGAGAATATTCATAGCGCTAAATCACCTGCATCATGAGCACACACCACATACACATCCCACATACACAGCCTCACGTACATACCCTCACTTTCACAGCATCACACAACACAGACGAATTAAGTATTTAAAAATTATTCCTTTCTTAACAATTTGAACCTTTTTGTATATATTTAGTATAATTGTTTTTTGTTGTTTTTGTTTTGTTTTTTTATGTAAGCTGTCATTAACTGGTATTATTTCGGCTACACAGAAATGATTAAGTATGTAGCTACTGGTTGGATAACTGTCGGTGATAATTAAATATTACCCACGTATTGTTCAAAATTAAAAAAAAAAACTTTATTTGTTTAGCTATATACAATAATAATAGAATTCAGATTGTTGTATTTTAACTATGTGTGATAATTAGTCAAAAGGTTGTACATTTGACATATCCATGATTAATAAAAAGAACTTCAAAATGTTATCTGTGGCAGCAAAATTGTTGTTGTATGACTACAAAGAATCCGTAGGGACATCCAAAGAGTCTTTATTCATTTCGCAATTTACTTGTTATTCGAACAAGCTGAAATACGAATCTGGATATTCGAGCGTAAGGAAATTATAAACGTACAATATACGATGCAGTCAAGCAAGAGTTATTATTGTGAAATTGAGTTGAAAATCTCAAGGGATCTTATTTCGGAACATGCGAGGTGACTCCTGTTATATATAATTTATATCATTAAATAGATAAAGAAGTTAGAGGACATTGATTTAATAATGTATCGGTTACCTAGAATGTGTTTTTAATGGTTTCCATGACATTTTACGGTTAATTATTTTTTATTCAGCGCGTTTCTTCACCTCAATTAATATATACTAGTAGAATTTATTAAATATTATACGTTTATGACAATTTATAAATAAATCCTTTACAAATGTTCCTTAGGTTCGTTTAGAAATACTGCCATTTTGTTGCTAATATTGTATTCCGTGAGGGAACTGCTGCAGCTCCAGCACGGGTACTCTATAACTCCCTAAAGCTATAGGGACATTTCACGTGAAGCGGACAGGAAAAAAAGTGAGGTTCTGAAAATTGACCACATTTGGCCCATTTTTACTTCTAGTAGGTATGAATGTGTACGCAAAATATTTTTTTGTATAGTGTATATTTACCAAGTTATAGGTTTCAAAAGAATTGTCGTTGATTGGTACTACAATTTTTCGAAAGTATTTTTTCGAATATAACAAATCTACTATAAAATATTTTACATAGCGATACATATTAAAAAATATACTGTTCTTTTTGACAGTAAAAAAAATTAAAAAATTAAAAAAATAAATGGCCAAAACCGGAAGTAAACTTTTCAAACCAGAATTACAGTCACTTCGACCAATTTTTTTATATTTTTTTCTTTCAAAATATAAGCCTAAATGATAATGAAAGTACACTAGAAAATTTAAAATGGGATCTCTATTAGTTTAGGAGATACGTTGAATAATATACACCCGCGTCGCAATGGGCGTCATATGTAGCACTTGCTTATATGGTTGGTGTGCGTCAAATAAAATGGCTTGTATAAATTACTGTGATAAAATAGTTCAAACATAATAAAAACAACATTGGTAGAACACAAAGAACTGTTTATTTTGTAATTTTAACAATTTTACAATGGGAATCTATGGCAGAACTGGTCCTCTTTACAAGAAGGCCTGTGGTTGTTGGAATGAAGCTGTGAAACTTTTTGGTTCCTGAAATGGTGACGTAGACGCAAACCAGGGTTCCAAAAAATTCTCTGACGCTCTATATCATCTTTAGAACAGAAATAAATGGGGTTTGTTTTAAAGATGATTTTGCCTATTCATATAATCGCATTGGTGTTATAATTGCTTTATTGAGGTAACTGTAAACTTGAGGAGCTAAAGTTTAGATTCCCCTAGACCACCGCATGCCCCTTTCCGTGAGATGTTGATGAAAATGCAACTCTGATCTGCATTAAAATCTTCTTTGTAATAAAACAGATTCAGAACTCAATCCTTTCATTGAATAATGCACAGGCAACGCTTCTAAGTCAGTTTTTACTACAGAGACGGTAATGAAGTAAAACCCGGAAGCATTATTATGATTTCTGACGACCTGAAGCATGACACAGCCACCTTTTATGCTTTCCAAAAGCTACTACACAAGCATCTTTTAGAAAAATTGATAGTTGGATCAAAAGTTATATACATAACGAGGGGCTTCCCAACATTTTAAAAATAGATTTAACTTTGTGAATCTGTTTTATTTCATGAAATTAGGAAAGGGGATGGATGGTTAGGGGGGAATCTGAAACGTTTAGTGGGTGAAGTTTACAGTTACCACCAAGTAAAGCAATTATAACACCAATGGATTATATGAATGGGCAAAATCATCTTTAAAACAAACCGCCATTTATTTCTGTTCTAAAGATGATATAGAGCGTCAGAGAATTTTTTGGAACCCTGGTTTACGTCTACGGTCACCATTTCAGGAACCAAAAAGTTTCACAGCTTCAATCCAACAACCACAGGCCTTGTTGTAAAGAGGACCAGTTCTGCCATAGATTCCCATTGTAAAATTGTTAAAATTACAAAATAAACAGTTCTTGTGTTCTACCAATGTTGTTTTATAATGTTTGAACTATTTTATCACAGTCATTTATACAAGCCATTTTATTTGACGCACACCAACCGATATAAGCAAGTGCTACATATGACGCCCATTGCGAGGGGTGTATATTATTCAACGTATTCTAAACTAATAGAGATCCCATTTTAAATTTTCTAGTGTACTTTCATTATATTTAAGCTATATTTTGAAAGAAAAAAAATGTAAAAAATTGGTCGAAGTGACTGTAATTGGTTTGAAAAGTTATTCGGTTTTGGCATTAATTTTTTAATTTTTTAATTTTATTATGTAAAAGAACAGTATATTTTTAATATGTATGTATGTAAAATATTTTATAGTAGATTTGTATATTCGAAAATTACTTTGAAAAATGTAGTACAATAGACAATTCTTGAAATATAATTGGTAAATATACATATAAAAAAAATATTGGTAAATTATACCTATAGAAGTAAAGGAAGGTGAATATCTGTGGGAAATTTATAGCGATTTCGATCCCGCTTTTGTACCGCGCAAACCAACGACCCCAGGTTCTACCGCGTTTGGATCTGAAAATTTCTGGATCACTGAGGCGTGGTGGCTGACGCCTGGACGATCCCAACTTCCAGTAGTGATACTACTTAAATACTTGTGGCCCATTTTTTTTTTAAATGGAATAGATTATGTAGACATAGACATAGATTATAGAGACAGACATAGATTATAGATGCATTCATATTTTAGTCGAAATATATAGATAATACAAGCATATCGATAATGTAATAAAGGCAAGTTATTACCGTTATGCGGTAATTCAAGAATTCACGTAATAATTTGGGTTAAACTTTCTCTGATACTTTATTTAATTACAATGCGTTTCCAATATAGACATAAACGAAACTTGATTATTACTTAACAATCATGTAGGTTTTATTAATTAATTTAAAAGATATTTTTTTTATATGGATTGTTTCCATATTTCGTATAGAGTTGCTTATTAACTTTTAGGCAATTAATAATT